ATCGCTATCATGCCAGTACTATGCAATCGGCTTGACCAGGCTCCTCGACCCGCAACAGTCACCCGACCAAGCTGGTTTCCGCAAGGGTTTCTGCACAGAGGGCCATCTTTTCACCGCGACAATGTTGCGCGAACGCTCCTACGGGTGGCAGTTAAATGTATGGGCAGCCACAATCCCATTGTTTCAAAATGACGTTCGACTGCGTAGGCCACGACTGCATTTGGAAAGCCTTTCAGGGGCAGAACGTACCGACACCGCACATGACTTTACTTCGGAAGTTTTGCAGCGGGCAGGTGGCCACGGTGAAGACAGACGTCATCAGCAGGCATTTCAGCATCGAGCGCGGCTTCAAACAAGGTTACCGACTCGGCTCTTACCTCTTCAACGCCCACCTGGAGCACGTTCCCCGCTAATGCAAACCATCTTGGGAACGAAAAGGATTTGGCATCCAGCTGGGGCACAAAGCTCGCGCTTCTTACCGAGCTACGGTTTGTGGACGCGGTCTAACTTATTCGTCGCGGCGCGGCCAATCTACACCAACTCATTTGAGTGCATGCTGCGCGACTTCAAACGCACAGCCGCGAAGCGTGGACTTGACTTACGCCCTGACCCAACCAGCACTCTCACGAACGTGAGCAGGAGACGGACCAACGACAAGTCATGCCACATCGACGGCGACGTGGTCGAAATCTTCAAAGGCGGAGAGACCGCCGAGTATCTGGGGCGGAAATTGACGCTCGACGTTTACCACCGCGCTGAGCTGACCAACGTAATTGCAATATCCGCGACGAACTAACAAGCAGCGGGTATCCTCTCTACGGTAGGCTACGCCATCATTGGTACGGTGACACCTAGTGCCATGTACGGCTGCTCCTCGTTGGCACTCACCAAGGACATGCTCTTAACATTGATGCGCACCCAGCGACGCATGTCACGATTCATTGCGAACACCCCCGGGCGACAAGGGAACAACCAGACAACGCCAACCGACGATGCAACCAGCTCTGAAACAAAGCAGCCCGACGGACCACAAAACAGCACCAACGATATCCAGTGGCATCTCAACTTCGACGGCGCCGACGACGACTCCGACCTCGCACCGTAGGGCGATTTTGTACGCATAGCGACCCATGCAGCTACGGAGCGGACAACGCGTTCTCAAGTGGATGGTCGGACGGCGTTGTAGCACAGACGCATCGCCACACAATCCCGTCAGAGGGGGACCCGGCTCGCTGCAGCCTGGCATCCTGACGCCCACGATCCACGTCAAGCTTGCCGCAGAGATGGTGGACAGCGAAGACGCTAGAGCGACGACATCACACAGTTCATGCACCGCACTACCGCAGGGGATATCACAGCCAATTTGGTGGAACTTGCCGCAGACACTGTATTCTGGTAGTCGCCGGAGAACGATTTCGTTGCTCAGTCCACCGTCGAACTACTACGGACCCCGGCCCGCCCGCGCCAGCCCCCCAGGCCCCGCCGGCCGCCGGCCGGCGGACGCGCGCGCCTCGCCTCGCCTCACCTCCCTCATCCCCCTTCCTCTTCCCAGCTAGGCACGCGTGCTCGCCGCCTCGCAAGGTTTGTCCCTTTGTCCTCCTCCTCCTCCTCCTCCTCCTCCTCCTCATCCTCATCCTCATCCTCGTCCTCAATCTCATCATCATCATCATCATCACCGTCATCATCATCACCATCATCATCATCCATTCGTTTCCCTTACAGATAATTCCGCCCTGTCGCACCCGGAGGCCGATCGAAAGGGCGGGCAGGGTGTTCCGCTTGACGCTTCCTCACCGCTCATGGTCCCGATGCTTAAGGATTGACGACAGTTTCACAGCTGGGGGGCGGGTCGTTTTTTCAACATGTGGCTCTCGCTTTGGCGCCATGCAAGGGCTTCGAGGATGGAGGGTGGGCCGTTTTCCAAATGTGGCTCTCGAATCAGCGCCGCGCACACTCGGTTTAAACATGTGCAAGACATTCCCACATGGAGGGCGGGTCGTTTTCAACATGTGGTTCTCGCCCCAGCGCCGCGCACATTCGTTTATGTGGTTTTCGCCGCAGCGCCGCGCGCACTCTTTTCGAACAGTTGCAAAATTTTCACTTATTGGGGGCGGCTCGTTTTCAATATGCGTCTCTCGCTTTAGCGACGCATATATTCGCTTTGAAGAATGTGCAAGGGCTTCGCGGATTGAGGGTGGCTCGTTTTTACAATGTGGCTCCGCCTGAGCGCCGCGCACACGTTTCAAACAGTTGCAATCATTTCACTGGTTGAGGGCGTTTCTTTTTCAACATGTGACTCTCGCCTTAGCGCCGCGCGCATTCGGTTGACACATTGGCACTGGTCTCACGGATCCTCATGGGGGCCAGACGTGGTGTTTTGGGACGGTTCAGGTTTGTCTGGGTGCAGCCGTTGCTTTGGTTAGCGGTGGTGAAATCCCAGGGATGGTGTCCTGGCACGATTCAGGATCGCCAGGACGTAACAATCAGGTCAATGCGTGGCGCTGGAGTCCTGAGAATGGTGGGTTGGCGCGCTTCGAGATTTCACACGGTTGTCTCCCAACGGGACAACTCTTTCAGTGGAAGCGACCATTTCTAGGGGCCTATGAAGAGGGATCCTCCCTCGTCTGGGCCCCTCGCCCGCGAAGTGGGCAGCAGGCCGTGGCAACGAAACGCCGCACAACTGCCCTGAACGGGTGAAGTGCGTTCGAAGCCGCTCCTCGCTCCTCCCTCGCTCCTCCCTCCTCCTTCGCCCCCTTCTCCTCCGCCTCCTCCTTCCCCTCCTCTTATGCTCACTTCTTTGCTGGATTCAGTGTCTCGCTGTCGCGCGGTGCCTCCCAACGACGTCTGGCTGCTAGGGGGCAATGCCTTGCTGCATGTTACTTGTCGGCCATTCCTCGGGAAGCCCTTCGCCGTCAACTTCATGGACAGTTCCACCTCGACCCTCAGACGGCACGGCGCACATGGCTCCGAGCTAGGAGTCACTCCAGGCGGCTGGATTGGCGGCCTGATCCTTTCAGGATTGGCATTGGACAGCGTGTCTGCCATTTTCGCGAGGCCAGCTATCGCCCGAGCACCGCCATCCCAGCTCTGAACCCGCTATTGATCGGCAAGCCTAGTCTCGAGGAGCTCGACATCGACCCCGCTGTGCCCACCTGCCGCTCACTCTCATCGTCACGCACCACCTCCCCCAGGTGGTCACGCAGGCGCCTTGCTATGCCGTGGTCACTGGTGAGGGCCCCGGGTTCCCCTCTTCTACAGCTGCCGACATCGAGGAGATGGATGCCATTGACGCGCCTGCTGTTGCGCCCAGAGACTCCATTGCTCGAGGGCGATCTGATGTCCGACTCCGAGTGCAACTGCACCTGCGAGGAGAGGCCCTTCTTGGGCGACGAGCTGCTTAACAGGTCGCGCGACAATCCGAGTGACCCTCGCACTGACATTCTATCATGGCCAGCTGCCAGCTCATCTGACCTTCCCCCGAGTGATGCTGATCGGGACGTCGTCCGCTGGATGGAAGCTGCTACGCCCTCTGGCTCTGGCTCTGCGGCTGCACCGTCTGAGGTAACCACTCCTCCTGTTCCTCGTCGTCAAGGTGATGTCCAAGCTGATCCTGCTCGCTCGCAGCTACCTGGCCAAGGGAATGCGGTGGCAGCTACTCCTGGCGCTGCACCTCTGCCTCCTCATGATCAACCTTATGGAGATGTCAACAAGTGGCATCCTGGACTCTACGACCACAGCAGCAGCCTTGCAGGGGAGGTATCAGAACCTGACTATTTCAAGTAGGTAGCTCGACATACGCAAGGTGAGCGGTGGGAACACTGTCGATCGCTGTGCCATCCTGTTTTTAGCGAGTCGACTCGGGCCCACAATTCATGGCAACGAATTGGAAGCGCGCCACGGGCAATGTCTTTCCCGTCATCTCCATCAGGTGCGACTGCCTGCCGCGAGTAGCTAGCTAGTGACACGTTTTTCAGCGGCTGCATCCTCACAGACAGACGGATCTGCCAGTTTCTGTGAATGGTTCAAAAAAAGAGGCATCCTGGACTTTACGACCACATCGACCCTGGTAAATAGTACCTCGAGCCCGCCGGGTACGACCACCAGACTGTCCACTATGATGGTTACGATGCTGCGACCTCTTTGGGTCTTCTCAGCCGCCACAACTTGGAGAGGCGAGCATGCACACAAGTGGTCATAACAACGTCGCTGATGTGCTACATGCCACATTCTCTGCGCCTGCTAGGGATGGCAGCGCTGCGATGTTTCCTGATTGTGACCCACATGATGCCGCTCATGAGGAGCCTCTCGGTGAGTTCGACGCCCTGCTTCAGCACGCCGACGAGGACGTGCTCATGGCGCCTTGATCTGAAGACCTCAAGCACGGAGCTCATGCCGCTACTGCTGCGATAGCCGCTATAGCTCTTCCTTTCGGCATCCATTCTCCGGCCCGCGTCCGTCAACGAGCTGGCCCACCACATCGAAGCCGTGGTCCCTGACGCCTCCGCGGCCCGTCTCATCCCGCACACAGAGCCCGCCGAGCAAGAGCACAGCGACCTGCACACCATCGGCATGGATGACGGCAGACCCTCAACTGCTGTTTTTCGGTGGTGATGCTGCGTCCTTCCCTGAGATGCATCCCCTACGGCATCGTTCCTGACGATGACGGTGACGTTGCCTCCTTCGACGCCCGCGAGGCCAACTGCGTCGCCGCCCCGAGGGGCCTGCCGCGGCCGTCGCAAGTGGGGCGCAGACCCGCGCCCTCGGACGCTCGCTCCTCCTGACCCCTCGTCCTTCTCCTCCTCCTCCTCCTCCTCCTCCTCGCTCCCCCTCGTCGTCGTTGCCCTCCTCCTCCTCCTCCTCCTCGTCGTCGTCGTCGTCGTCGTCGTCGTCGTCGTCCTGCTTCATCTGGGCTCCTCGCCCGTGAGGGGGACGGAGAGCCGGCAGGCGGGCGCAGGCTGTGCCCCCCCCCCCTGGCCGCCCCTGGCCGGTGCGGCCCGGAGGTGCTGGCGGCCATGCTGAGCAGCGGCTACCACGAGATCTCGGGCGCCTGCGAGGAGGGCCAGAGGGGGAGAGGGTCTCATTGCGAGGGGCCTTTGGGGAGGAAGGGTCTTTGGGCAGAGATGGATGTGAATAGAGAGAGAGAGAGAGAGACGATGTGGAGAGAGCGGCGGAGGACGAGAGGAGGAGGAAGGGAGAATGGTGTGGAGAGAGAGAGAGAGGCAGAGGATGAGGAGGAAGAGGAGGGGGAGGATGGATGAAGGAGGGGGGAGGAAGGGGAGGACGAGCAGGACGATGAGGGGAGGTGGAGACACGAGATGATAATGACTGTGATTATGCCGATGCTGATGGTGATGATGATGACGATGGTTGTGATGATAATGATGATGATGATGATGATGAGGACGACGATGATGATGATGATGATGATGATGGTGCTGGCTGTGGTCGTTATTGTGATGTCATTGGCGATTATGTTGATGCTGCTGATGATGGTGATGCTGTCGATCATGATGGTAATGAAGCTTATAGCGATGCTGATTGTGGTGATGATGCTGATTATGGGAAGGAGGATGACGAGAAGGAGGAGGAGGAGGGGGAGGGGGAGAATGATGAGAATTTGGATGAACGGGATGATGACGACGATGCTGATGATGCTGATGATGATGATGGTGATAACGATGCTGATGATGATGCTGCTGATGATGCTATGCTGATGATGATGATGATGATGATGATCATGATGATGATGACGATTGTGATGGTGATGATACTGGCGATGGTGATTGTGATGATGCTGATGATGGTGATAATGAGGATTACGATGACGACGATTCTGATCACTGTGACGATGATGTTGATGATGATGATGATCATGGTGCTGCTGCTGCTGAAGATGATGACGTTGACCAGGATGACGGTAACGACTATTATAATGAATATGATGATGATGATGATGATGATGATGATGATGATGATGATGATGCTGATGATACTGCTGGCGATCCTAATGCTGATGCCGAGACGGATGATGATTATGATGCTGGTGAGTGTGATGATGTTGATGACCATGGTTATGACGATGATGCTGCTGATGATGTTGCTGCTGATGATGCCGTTTGTGATGATGACCATGCTGATGACGATGGCGATGACGTTTTGTTGATGATGGTGATGAAGATGATAGCAACGACGATGGTGCTGTTCATGATGATGATGCTGATGATGATGCTGATTGTGATGATGGCCATGCCGATGACGATGGTGAGTACGATTATGATGATGCTGATCATGATGATGCTGATGATGCTGCTGCTGCTGATGATGATGATGCTGATGCTGATGGTGTCCGTGATGATGGGCACGACGGTGATGCTGTTGCTAGTGCTGCTGCTGCTGCTGCTGAGGGGTGAGAGGAGGAGGAGGAGGAGGAGGAGGAGGAGGAGGAGGAGGAGGAGGAGGAGGAGGAGGAGGAGGAGGAGGAGGAGGAGGAGGAGGAGGAGGAGGGGGAGGGGAGGAGTTTATCGGTGCGTACCCGTGTGTGCGCGTGGTGTGTGTGTGTGTGTGTGTGTGTGTGTGTGTGTGTGTGAGGGTGCGGGTGGGGCTTGGGCGTGGGCGTGGGTGTGGGTGTGGTGTGTGGGTGTGGGTGTGGGTGTGGGTGTGGGTGTGGGTGTGGGTGTGGGTGTGGGTGTGGGAGTGGGAGTGGGTGTGGGTGTGGGTGTGGGGGTGGGGGTGTGTGTGGGTGTGGGTGTGGGTGTGGGTGTGGGTGTGAGCAGGCTGCACGTCGCTATGGCTGGATTCGCCTTGGAGGTTCGGTCAGAGCGCACCCAGGACAGTTCTAGGGGTCGACTTCATGACGATACGGCGAAAGAGGAGGAGGAGACGGAGGAGGAAGCGGAGGAGGAGGAGGAGGATGAGGAGGAGGAGGAGGAGGAGGAGGAGGAGGAATTGGCGGACAGGGAGGGTTGTGGGGAGTCCTCACCCTTCTCCTGGAGTCGTGCTCCTCTGTGCCTCTCCAGGCTCCCCCCTTCCTCCTCCTGGACACACCGCCGCCGCCGAGGACGACGAACCCAGGAGGATAAGGACGAATAGGAGGGCGACGAGGAGGAGTCCGATAGGAAGATGAGGAGTGCGAGGTGGAGTCAAAAGCTGCAGACCTAGGTCAAGTATCACTCTCATCGGCCAGGAGGGGGAGGGAAGGAAGGTTTCGACTGCAAGGTCATCTCGAACTCGGTTGGTCATCTGACGCGAGCGCCACACATCGGCTATGGGATGGCCTCAGTTCGCGGCGTGCGCGACGGGCGTGGTGAACTCTCATCGAGAGTAATTTGAAGGCGGGGCGAGAGGAATGGAAGCAGATGTGGGGAGAATGGCGCGATGGTCGTGAACATGATGACGCGGGGGGAGCCGAAGGAACGCAACGATGCGGATTAGGAGGGGGAGGATGGGGGCTGTGATGATTGTGAAGGCCTTACAGCCGCTGCCGCCGACCCTGAAGACAATGACGAGGACGAGGAAGAGGAGGAGGGGGAGGAGGAGCAGCAGGAGGAGGACAAGGTGGCGGAGGACGCGGTGGAGCAGCAGGAAGAGGAGGAGGAGGAGGAGGAGGAGGAGGAGGAGGAGGAGGAGGAGGAG